TGTCCCCCCAGCCCTTCCCCCCCCACCCAAGCAACTGTTGCCACGCCCCTGACAACCGCTCCTGCCACGCCCCTAGCCACAGGAACCCGCCCGTTCATTGGATAACCCGGCCGCTACTCTACTCTCCCAAATGCTCATTTAACGCGGAGGGCACCCCATTGGTCACTGTTATCTGCTTCTCAGAGGGGAGGCGGGCGCCTTAGCAGAGAGCTCCGCGACAATTGGTTACTTTTGACGTCTTTAGCCCGTGGGCCAAGACTCTATTGGATAAGGCCAGTCCGGAGGGGGCGGAGAAAAGGGATGAGGACTTAGAAGATGAGTCGTGTTTGATGTTGGTGGGGGCGGGATGAAGAGAGAGGGGGGCGATTGTGACCAAGCTGATTTGGGGGGCTGGGTAAGGTCAGGTGCCGTCACGGGGTGGAAAAGAGGAAGTCACCTAGTGGCTCAGTTGCGGAACTGTGGTGTGTCCAGTCCAGTCCAGTTCAGTCCAGTCCAGTCGATTGGCTCACCTGTAGTCCAGGTCCCCGGAGGCGAAATTTGGGGTGATACCCTGGAAGAGAGGAGGGAGGGCAGTGAGTCATCAACTAGAAGGACATGAAAGGAAGTAGCTGCCTCTGACCCTTCCAGCTAGAGGAAGGGGGTAACGACGTTCTGGGCAGTGTGGACCTCAGTTATTTCCTCTGTCCTTTCAGCCCAGTGGAAGGCAGCCTGCAAGAATTAGCCTTTAGAGTCAGACCTAGAATGGACAAGTGTACTGGTTTTGTGGCCTTGGGCAAGTCCTTCAGCTTTTCTGCATGCACCCTGATTTCTTTATTTGGCACCCGAGGATAACAATAGTAGTTGATTAGAAAGAAGATAAGTAACTCCTGTAAACACACACAGTGCCTGGAATTCAATAGCCATTCAATCAAGCCTGATTCTTCACCCACTCACCCCATCCATTAGCGGAATGGGGCTGAATTCTAAAATTCTATGAGCTTGAATCTGCTTTTGCAATGGCATGTGCTTTACCAAAAATAGAACACTTGAGTGATTTGAAAGGCAACCCCTGTAGTGGAGACAAGGCCACCCTACCAAGGCACAGTGGAGCTAGGAAATACGAAGCAGAGGATGAAATAGGAGGATCAATTTAGTCAGTAGAGGGAAGTGTATTTGTAGCAATGTTAAAAAATTTCCAACCCATTTCAAGATTGTGACCAGAAAACACGGGCTGGAGCGTGACCAAATAACATCCTTTCAAGACTGATCAGTGCTGGACCAGAAATCTCTGCATGAAATATATCTGTCAGAGATTCCTGAAGCTGGTTTCCCATTCTGAGAATGTGTACATCCTGGAGTGTAGACAGATATAGTCTCTTAGGCCTGAACTTTACTCCAAACCCTTGATGTTTATCTTCAAAAGAATACACATAGAGGGTATATTACAGTGGAGGAGACAGAAACTTTTCCATTGCTGTATCTTATCCAGTTGTCATGCTACCTAAGAAAAAGTTTCATCTCAGTATTTAGGTTTCTATATTCTCTTCTGGGGTCAGCTGGCAGAGTGGTGTTTAAGGTGTCTAGATCCCAAATGGCCAACTTCATGGTTTGGACAAGCTTGAAAAAAACATGATAGGAGTGTGTGCAAAAATCTCAAGAGAATAAAGGAGAAAGAATTGTGGCGATGGCCCGTGGGGATGCTTTCTCACCTTCTCTCTCTTTCTGTCTCTCTATCTCTCTTTCTCTCAACACAGGTGCTCTCTAGCAAATTTAAAAAAAAAAGACGTTCTTTTTCATCTTGGCAAATAAAAATTCAGGTTTCAGTAGCCAAAGATTTCAGTAAGAGGCTCACGTGGTCCTGACTCTATTAAAATAGTACAGAAGAAGACCAGCAGTTGGCATAATGGTTATGTCGCCGGACTCCCATGTAGTCTATCGCAGTTCAAGTCCCGGACCCGGTGGCTTAAACTAACACTGGGTGCGTGTGTGTGCATGCCCAAGATCCTGAGAGTAGAATGGAGGAAAAGGGACTGCGGCATGGCCAACCCCCCGGGGGGTTATTTCTCGCTTTTGTCTCTCTGTCTCTTTCTGGCAAGCACACGCACCCTATAGCAAGAACCTCCCCCCCCCAAAAAAAAAGGAAAAAAAAATATATATATAGTTCAGATGGGGCGAGCAGGTGGCGTGGTGGTTAAAGAAGCTGGACAGGATCCCAACTGGCTGACTATGGTTCCAGTCTCAGACCTAGCAGCTTGCTTTCTCCCTCTCTCTTTTTCTCTCTCTCTCTGGTCAAATAATAATAATAATAATAATAAAATTAAGTTAAATAAAAATAATTCTTTTTCTGAAAAGTTCAAACTTTAGAGCTTTAGATTTGCAGCTCTGGCTTCTTTCCAACACACAGAACTGCCTCCTTAGTGGGCTCTGGTCCCTGCTTCCTGCTCCTGGCTTTGGCTTTTGCCTTATTCTGTTTAATTGTGTTGCTTCATTCTATCAAGCATTTCTGTGGGAGGCCATTTAGGAGATGGAATGAATGCATTCTGCCTTTCATTTTAGTAGCTTGTTTGGGATTGAGGCCTAGGTGAGCCTAGGCCTAGGATAATCGGATGTTGGGAAGTGGCTGTACGGTAAATTTCCAAAAGGCTGACAGCGCTTCGTCATAACGAGGACAAGGGAGAGGGCCTTTGCCCACTCACATCCTGGGTGGGTGAAGCTCCAGGCCTTCATTAACTCTTGACTGTATTCAACTGGGCTTCTCAGTAGGATTTCCTAACCTGGGAGTCCTCAGGGTACCCTGGAGACAGTGGGGAGCATGCGCAGTGCAGATTACAAACTCTGTTTTTCTGCCCAGGCAAAATCATAAACTCACTCAGTTTGTCATTTTAATTAATCTATACCCTGGGGGATAGTTGAAAGCAATCATCTTTTTTGGGGGGGAGGGGGAACCTGTGTTGCTGGGGCTTGAACTCCAGGTCTGCCCTTCTCAGCCTTGTGACCCTGGGCACAGGTGGCACCTTTCTGCGCCCCACTTTCTATTGTGAAATGCAGGTGATAGTACCGTGTTTCCCCCATGCAGTCCTGTGAGTAGCAAAGGGCTTATAGATGCAAAGTGCACCAAACACTGCCTGGCGCATCCTTAGCTCTTAAGAGATGTTTACCTTGGGGCTGGCAGATGGTGTGGTGGATAAGGGCGCTGGCTCCCACATGGCCGACTGCGGTTCAAGTCCTGGACCGGGTGGCTGCTTTCTCACTTTCCCTCTCTCTCTTTCTCTGTCTCTTTCTGATCAAACTGGAAAATAATAATAATAATAAAGTTAAATAATTCTTTAAAAATTTATATGGATAGGGGCTAGCAGGTGGTGTGGTGGTTAAGGCACTAGCTCTCTTTTTCTCTCTCTCTCTGGTCAAATAATAATAATAATAATAATAAAATTAAGTTAAATAAAAATAATTCTTTTTCTGAAAAGTTCAAACTTTAGAGCTTTAGATTTGCAGCTCTGGCTTCTTTCCAACACACAGAACTGCCTCCTTAGTGGGCTCTGGTCCCTGCTTCCTGCTCCTGGCTTTGGCTTTTGCCTTATTCTGTTTAATTGTGTTGCTTCATTCTATCAAGCATTTCTGTGGGAGGCCATTTAGGAGATGGAATGAATGCATTCTGCCTTTCATTTTAGTAGCTTGTTTGGGATTGAGGCCTAGGTGAGCCTAGGCCTAGGATAATCGGATGTTGGGAAGTGGCTGTACGGTAAATTTCCAAAAGGCTGACAGCGCTTCGTCATAACGAGGACAAGGGAGAGGGCCTTTGCCCACTCACATCCTGGGTGGGTGAAGCTCCAGGCCTTCATTAACTCTTGACTGTATTCAACTGGGCTTCTCAGTAGGATTTCCTAACCTGGGAGTCCTCAGGGTACCCTGGAGACAGTGGGGAGCATGCGCAGTGCAGATTACAAACTCTGTTTTTCTGCCCAGGCAAAATCATAAACTCACTCAGTTTGTCATTTTAATTAATCTATACCCTGGGGGATAGTTGAAAGCAATCATCTTTTTTGGGGGGGAGGGGGAACCTGTGTTGCTGGGGCTTGAACTCCAGGTCTGCCCTTCTCAGCCTTGTGACCCTGGGCACAGGTGGCACCTTTCTGCGCCCCACTTTCTATTGTGAAATGCAGGTGATAGTACCGTGTTTCCCCCATGCAGTCCTGTGAGTAGCAAAGGGCTTATAGATGCAAAGTGCACCAAACACTGCCTGGCGCATCCTTAGCTCTTAAGAGATGTTTACCTTGGGGCTGGCAGATGGTGTGGTGGATAAGGGCGCTGGCTCCCACATGGCCGACTGCGGTTCAAGTCCTGGACCGGGTGGCTGCTTTCTCACTTTCCCTCTCTCTCTTTCTCTGTCTCTTTCTGATCAAACTGGAAAATAATAATAATAATAAAGTTAAATAATTCTTTAAAAATTTATATGGATAGGGGCTAGCAGGTGGTGTGGTGGTTAAGGCACTAGATTTAGACTCCCACATGGCCAACTGCAGTTCAAGTCCCAGACCTGGCAAGCTGCATTTTTCTCTTTCTCTCGCTCCCCCTTGCATCTGTACCCTTGGCAAACTGAGGAATACCAGTAATAATGAAAAAAGTTGAATACATAATTATTTTTTTAGAATTATTTTATTTGACTTTATTTATTTATTTATTTTAATTTGACGAGACAGAAAGATGGGGAGAGAGAGAGAAAGAAAGTGAGAAAGAAGCTGCCATGTCCAGGACTCAAACCACAGTCAGCCATGTGGGAGTCCAGAGCCCTTAACTACCATGCCACTTGCCAGTCCCAGTAATTCTTAAAATATATATATGGACAGACTAGTTTTTAAAGAATTATTTATTTATGGGACCAGCAGTTAGCGTAATGGCTATGTTGCTGGACTCCCATGTAGCCGACCGTGGTTCAAGTCCCGGACCTGGTGGCTTAAACTCACGCTGGGTGCATGTGCATGCATGCCCAAGGTCCCAAGAAGCGAATGGAGAAGGGATTGTGGTGTGGCCATCCCCCTTGGGGGGTGATTTCTCACTTTCTGTCTCTCTGTCTCTCTGGTGAGCACACACGCCCTATAGCAAAAACCTCTCAAAAAATAAAAATAAAAAAAGATGAAATAAAAAAGATTTATTTATTATAATTCTTCAATTTGACAAGAGAAAAAAAGCAAGCTGCCAAGTCCAGGCCTCGAACTGTGGTTACCCATGTGTGAGTCCAGTGCCTTAACCACCATGCCTGCCAGGCAATGGACAGACTATTTTTTTTCAAGACTTATCTATTTATTTATTTAATTCCATTTGTTATTATTATTATTTTTTAATTTGACCAGAGAAAAAGGGAAAGCAAGCTGCCAGGTCCAGGACTCAAACCAGGGTTGGCCATGTGGGAATCTAGTGCTCCCAACCACCACGCCACCTGCCGACCCCAACAGACTATTTTTTAAGAGTAGTTTTAGGTTTACTAGAAAAATGAGTGGAAAGTACAGAGATCTCCTATATGTATCCTGCCCTAACACACGTTAGAACTTTTTTTTCTTCCTAAAAAATCCACAACTTGGTGGTATGGTGAGAGAAACGTTTTCTTTGGAATATACATACCAAAAAACAGGGCTCAGAGGACTCAGTTAAGGTTCTGTTTTGTTTTCTCAGTTGAGGTTTTTAGACTAAACCTCATCAGTGCTAAATGGGAAAGGATGAGGCTGAAAGAATCATTTTGAAAGCCTCACCTTGGGTGTTATGAAATTCCTGTAGAGGCCTAGAAGGGTATGGATTCTGGGGAATCCATTTGTCACTTTACTGTCACACCCAGAGCAATTATGTGCGGTCTAAGCAGTGGGTTCAGCATGCACTGTGTATGGGCCTCCTGGCTCACTTACTGATAACGGAGATGAAATGTTATCTAGAAGTCCCAACAGGCAATAGTTCCATGAGGATAAACTATGATGAAATTCAAGGTCTTGGCTCCTTGTATTATTGGTAAAAGCTTCCTGATAGCCAGTCAAAACAATGATGAAATAGAACCTTGTTTATGATTTGGACTGCTTCTTGAAACCTATGGATAAGGCTCTCTATAATAAAATTATGAGATGGACAATCAGGCTTATGCCTGTTGTCGTCCTCGAGACATTTTAAGAAGTTTTAATAGTGTCTTCCGCCTTGAGATGACTCTCACATAGTCTCTCTTTGGATAATACATCTTATGATAATACTTATACTTACAAACACAGGACTTGGCGCTGAAAACACGTGCACACACACACACGCATACACAGACGGAAGGATGGACACAAAAGTGTTACAGTCTTATAATCAAATATATACAGAGTGTATGGGGCTGGCAGGTGACGTGGTGGTTAAGGCCGCTGGACTCCCACATGGCCGACCACTGTTCAAATCCTGGACCTGGCGGATAGCCACACCATAATGTCCTCTACTCCACTCTCCTCTTTGGGTCTGGGACTCAAACCACAAAGTCGGCCAAGTAGGACCCAGCTGCCTTAACCTCGATGCCACCTGCTGACCCAACAGTAAATATTTTTACTGGGCAGGACACAGTACTAGAGATAAAACCGTAAAGCAAAGATCCACCCCATACAGGCGTGAATACAACACAGAGAGGAAATACCTATAGCGATGACTCGCGGACTGAGCAGTGACAGCAGAGTACAGTGGTTATAAACCACCATTCTGATTCAGATTCTTAGAGACCTGCACTGGTCCTTGAAGATCCATGCTGCCGAACTGGGTGGAAATTGGAGGTGGTATCCCAAGAGGTGAGGACAACAGAAATACACACCTGGAAGTGAAAGATCACAAGATAGTTTATCTAGAGCAGAGTCCAAAAGGAAAATCAGTAAGAAAGGTGAGAAGGTGGGTGGGGCTGTGGTAGAAGCCAGGTAATGACTTGCCGCATCCCAGCCACCTGAGTAATCCCATCACAGTACAGACCATGCATCCCAAATCCAGCCATCTGCAGACAGCCTTCATATTCTTGGGCCCTCTCTCTGTACACCTTGCTTTCTTACTTACTTAATAATGTAATTAAGGTGATTCACTTTTCTTTCTTTTTTTCCTTTTCTAATTTTTTAATTTGTCTATAGGGTATGTGCCCTTACCAGAGAGAGGTACAGAGATAGAGGAAACAAGAAATCACCCTCCAGGGGAGATGGCCACTCTGCGATTCCTTCTCCCCCATTTTCCTCTCAGGATTTGGGCATGTGTACATATGAGCTTGGTGTGTTTTTCGAACCACGGAGTCAGCATGTGAGATATAACGCCTTAACCACACTACCTGTTGGCACAAGATAATTCACTTTCCAAATGAAATACTTTTTCAGCCTCATTCTAAATCAATAGTATTCAGCTGGGACAATTTCATCCATTCCCCCTAGCTTCCCACACACCCCACATCTGACACATTTCTGTCCTCACACTGGAACACTGCTGGCCTCTCAGTGGGTGGTCTGGGGTGCTGCTAGCCATCCTGCAATGCACAGAATAGCACCTTCCAACAAAGAGTTTTCTTTGTGTGGATTCTGAAGTCAGTACTCAGAAGGATGCGGCCCCGGGCGTGTGCACATCTCCCTGGAACGGGAGCGGTCCTGAAGGGGCTCTCTTTGTCTCCATCCCTCATCTGCGAAACTGTTGGCCTGTCATGGCTTCACACCCAAGCTGCTGACTTCCATGCATTGCTACCTGATTGTTCTAGTGTGTCTGACAATAATACCTTGGGGCACAAACTGCTGCAATTCTGCCCTTTAAATTTGAGTCCCCAGGGCCAGCCAGTGCTGTGTGGCTAAGGCAGCTGTGAAGTTTGAATCCCAGACCCTACAGCTTGAAAAATCTCAGAGGAGAAGGGATTGTGGTATGGCCATCCCCTCTAGGGGGTGATTTCTCACTTTTCTTTTCTTTCTCTGGCAAGCAAATGTACCTTACAGCAAAAACTGAAGAAAAAAAAATGTGGGCCCCTTGGCAGGGATAGTTTTCCAGGTCAGTCTTCAAGTATTATCTCAACCCCCAAGAGGGAATTTCTGAGTTGACACCTCCCTGTTTCTCTCTGGTCCACTTCTATCACTGGTCTACAGTTTAGCTCCCAGGCTTCTTTCAATTGCTTGCCAACAAAATCTCCATTGTTTTTGAGAACACCCTTATACTTGAACTTCTCCACATTATGTTCCAAATAAAACAATTTCTTGGGAAGAGCATCAGAGCTCTCTGTTTTTATGACCTGCTTCTCTCCATGGACAAAACCCCTGCCCCACTAACTCCTCTAGAGCTTGGGGAAGTTGGGGCAGGGACAGTGGTGGCCCTCTTATCTTAAGAGTGACAATCCTGCTTTATGAGCAAAGTGCTGAACAGGAACAGAAGCTTCTGGTCTTCTTAGCTTATCTTATCTGGCAGAGTATTTCTGCCCTACGAGAAGGTGGAGTCAGGGTGACTAATTCTTGGCCTGCCTATTCTTAGCCTGCCATGCCTGAGGTAGAGCCTCCGCCCAGTGAGTAGGGGCTGCATGCAAGACAGGAGGCTCAAGCCCATCTTGCCTGGAGTAGAGCTTCTGCAACATAAGCTGGAGGGTATGAGACATGCTGGCACCCTGCCTCTCCCAGGGAGATACGGTACCTCTCAACTGATAACTGGGGGAAAAGGGACTGTGTTCTTGGCTTCACCTGGCTGGAGTGGAGTTTCCATCATGCTGAGCCGGCAGGTGTGGGGGAAGGAAGGGTCTGGCTGAATTGTCATTTACTCTTACTGTGCTTATTGAGATTTTACTGGGTTGTCGGAGAAGTCATGATGTATTCTTCTATGTAAAAATGCATCATGACTTTCCCAGCGGCACAATAGAAGGTTTTCTTTAATAGATGAATTTGCTGTATATTCTTTAATAGTGAATTTGCTGTATATTCTTTTTTTTTTTTTTTTTGGGGGGGGAGAGGTTTTTGCTATAGAGCTCGCCAGACAGACAGAGAGACAGAAAGCGAAAAATCACCCCCCTGGGAGGAATGGTCATGCCGCAATCCCTTCTCCTCCATTCTCCTCTTAGGATCTTGAGCATGCACGCACACACGCCCGGCATGAGTTTTAAGCCACCGGGTCTGGGACTCGAACCGTGGTCAACTACCACCCTTCAGTGGCACCTGGTCACACTGCAATTCCTCTTCCTCACTTACCAGGAATAGAACTTTGAGGAGGCAAGAAGAGGAAAACAGTGATGATTTGAGAAGTTATCAGAAAGAGAGTGGGGACAGCAATGGTGTAAGTTGTTCAGAGCCAAGCCCTGTTCTAAGAGCTTGACATGTTTTCTGACATTTAATCCTCACTGTAACTCGACAGGTTATTATTATTATCTCTATTTTACAGAACAATAAACTGAAGCCTGGGAGCTGGCAGGTGGCATGGTAGTTGAGGCACTGGTCTCCCAAATGACCAGTAATGGTTCAAGTCACAGACCTAGCGGCTTGCTTTCTCAGTTTCCCTCCTCTCTCTCTGATCAAATTAAAAAATAATAATAGGGACCAGCAGATGGTGTGGTGGTTATGTTACTGGACTCCCACAGAGTCAACCACATTTCAAGTCTCAGACCCGGCGACTTAAAACTCACGCCAGGCACGTGTGCATGTGTGCCCAAACTCCTAAGAGAAGAATGGAAGATAAGGGATTGCAGCGTGGCCATCTCTCCCAAGGGGTGATTTCTCGCTTTCTTTCTCACTATCCCTCCAGTGAGCGTACATGCCCTATAACAAAAATCTCTCTTAAACATATAAAGTAACAATAATAACAAATAAATAAAAATTTTTAAATAATTATTTTAGGGGCCAGTAGGTGGCGTGGTAGTTAAGGGCAAAGGACTCCCATATGGTCGACTGTGGTTAGAGTCCTGGACATAATGGCTTGCTTTCTCGCTTTCTCTCTCTCTCACTCTCTAGTCAAATTTAAATAAATAAGTTAGATAAAATAATTCTTAAAAAAAAAATCATAAAAAAAAAAGAATCAGAGAGAAACGGAGGCCTAAGAGGTGAAATACTGTAAAGATCACACAGTGGTATGCAGTGAGGCTACCACTAAAACTAGGCCATCGTGAGTGCTCATAACTCTCATTCCTAAGTGTGTACCCAAAGAAACACATGTACAACGATGATCTCACTAGTGGTGTTTGTAACTCCTCATCCTTCTGGATTCCACTACAAAATCACCCCATCTATCAAGCCTTTCTTCCTCTTCTGGTGGCACTCATTCACTCATTCATTCATCCATTCATTCATCCCAAAAATCTGTGCATGCAAGGCCCCGTGCCAAGGCTGAGGGCTAAGGTCAAGAAACCCCATACTTCATCGCTGATGTCATAGATCCAATCTCACTGATGGTATTGACTTGTTTACGTTACAGCTGCTCCCAAGCCCCACCCCATGAGGCCGAGGATGGTGACTTACTTATCTTTGTACCCTACTGATAGTAGGCACTAAAACATATTTGTTCAATTGAACCGGAGGAGAATAATTACTAAGAAAGGTCCCTGGCTTTGGCCACTCAAATACCCTTGATAATCTCTGGGTATCTATGAGGTAAAGTCTAGGGCCAGGGGTGGAGGGAACAAATCTTTTTCTTTTGGGCGTAAAGGAGAATTAAAGAACTGTTACAGATGAAGGCCACTTGTTTGAGAAGTGCCACCAGTAGGAAGAAGTGGGAAGAATGACAGCAAGATTGACTGACAGTATTTTAGGATTTGTTTGTTTGTTCGTTTTTGGAGAGATTTTTGCTATAGAGTACGTGCGCTCACCAGAAAGATAGACAGAAAGTGAGAAATCACACCCCAGGGGGATGGCCATGCCACAATCCCTTCTCCTCCACTGTCCTCTTGGGATCTTGGACACACACGCACATGTGCCCAGCGTGAGTTTAAGCCACATAATCAACTCCATGGTTTGAGTCCCAGACCTGGTGGCTTGATAATCACTCTGTGTGTGTGCATGAATGAAAATTCCGAGGGGAGAATAGAGAAGAAATTGTGGTATGGCCATCCCCTCTGGGGAGTGCTCTCTCTTTTTCCCTCTCTCTCTGTCTCTGGTGAGCACACATGTACTATAGCAAAAAAAAAAAAAAATAATTAAGTTAAAAATAGCAGCTATATTTTGCTTTCATGGGATATCTTCTCTTAGGTTCAGGTGGCTAGCTTGAGAAAGCTCAAACTAGCTCATGTGGAGAGACCACATGCAGAGACCACATGCAGGAGCTTGGGCTGACCGCCCAGCTGAGATTCCAGCCAAACCACCAGACATGTGGGTGATGACGTCTCTGTATGGCTCCATCCCCCAGCTGTTGAGTCACCCTCAGCTTTCAAGTCTTCCCAGCTGAGGTTTTCAGACATTAAGATACAGAGACAAGCCACTTCTGCTAGTTCCTGTCTGATTCCTGACCCAAACAGTCTGTAGGCATAATAAAATGGTTAGTTTATGCCATTAACTTCTAGAGCCGTTTGTTATGTGGCAATAGATAACTGGAATGATGTACGTGTGTGTGTGTGTGTGTGTGTGTGTGTATGTGTGTGTGTGTGTATCTAACAGTCTCTCCCCGGGGCTGGATGGTAGTGAAGCAGTAAAACATGACACTGCAAAACTGACCCACGTGAGAAGATTCTGGATTTGTGTCTAGACATCTCCCTGGTATGCCAGGCATGCACGTACCCATGGTCTGGGGTCAGCAGGGCATGGACTGTGGCATTGGGACCCTGGCTAGAAGTACTCTGTCTCTCTTGCTCATGGAAGAAAAAATAAATAAACAAAAATTTTTTCTCCTCTGGATGTTACCATTACATTAGTACTAGTTTGTTTTTGTTTTTGCCATAAAGCATGTGCGTTCAGCAGAGAGAGCAAGCCACCAGGTATGGGACTCAAACTGCAGTTGACCATGTGGGTATCCAGGGCCTTAACCACCTTGCCACCTGCCAGCCCCACCATGAGTTTTTAGTCAAGCCAACAATAAATATTTTGGGTTTTGTCTTAATCTGGTTTCTCTCTCTTTGAACACATAGTTCCAGTTTCTCCTTTTCTCCAGAGGCTAAATGATCACTCACACACACAGGCACATGTTTATCAGGTTCTGAATATAAAACAAACTTTAAACCCAGACATATCCGGATGGTCAAATGAGATCACTCCCAAAGAGAGACAAGAAACTGAAAAGTCTTGTGAGCCCCATGGGTATAAAAAACCCACGTTTAGCCTGACCACACGTTGGGGGGTCCAAGCTGAGTCAGCCATCTCCACTGATGGCCTGAGACTGTGTGCACCTGCTAGACTGAAAGTAGAGAACAGACGCGGTGTCTGGGAGAGAATGCCCAAAAATTCTCCAGAAGTTTATTTATTTTTTTAAATATTTAATTACTTATGTATTATTTAAATTTTTGCTATACGGTATGTGTGCTCGCCAGAGAGAGAGAGAACAAGAAAGCAAGGAAACAAACCACCAGGTCTCAGACTCGAACCGTGGTCAGCCATGCAGGAGTCCAAGCTACCTGCTAACCCTAATTTACTTATTTTTTTAAAAAAATTATTTATTTATTTCCATTTGTTATTATTATTATTTTAATTGGACCAGAGAGAGAGAGAGAGAGAGAAAGGGAAAGGAAGAAAGCAAGCCACCAGGTCTGGGACTTGAATCACAGTTGGCCATGTGGGAATCCAGCACCCCCAACCACCATGCCACCTGCCAGCCCCAAAGTTTACTTTTTGGATCTTGGGCACGCACGCACACGTGCCCAGCGTGAGTTTTAAGCCACCAGGTCCGGGACACAAACTGCGGTCGACTACATGGGAGTCCAGCGACATAGCCATTACGCTAACTGCTGGTTCCCCAGTTTACTTATTTTTTAAAAAATTATTTTATTTGGGGGGCTGGCAGGTGGCATGGTGGTTAAGGGCACTGGACTCCCACATGGCCAACCGTGATTCTAGTCCTGGACCTGGTGGCTTGCTTTCTCGCTTTCTTTTTCTTTCTCTCTCTCTCTCTCTTCCCCCACCCCCCCGGTCAAATTAAAATGAATGAATAAATAAATAAATAAAGATTTTTAAAAAATAATTATTTTCTTTAACTTTATTTATTTAAAAAGCGCAACACCCTTAACCACCATGCCACCTGCCAGTCCCACCGGTTTACTTATTTTAATAACAATAATGACCTATTTTTAAAAGCCTCTTTAGAGTCAGAAAGTAATATGGAGGTTAAGGCGTTGGATCCTACGTGGCCTTTCCAGTTTGAGTCCTGAACCCGATGGCTTGAAAATCACACCAAGTGTGTGCCCGTGTGTGTATCCAACATATGAAAAAGAGACTAGAGGAGAAGTTACTGTGGTGTGCCCATCCCCTTTGGGGGATGATTTCTCACTTACCCTCTCTCTTTCTCTGGCAAGCATACATCAGGTGATTTTAATGGGCAGCCAGACCTGAGAACCATAAAAAACCTCTTCAAGAAGACCGAAGACCTTCCCAGATGGGGCACAATACAGGGGATGCCCTCTCATTCCCACAAAAGGACTGAGAAAGCAAGATCCTTATTGTCATGAAGAGCTCCAGTCACTCACCAGTCAACGAATACAGACGACCAAACCCTTGTGGCTGGGACTCCTTAGGAAGACCAGTTACTGAGAGCGTGACACGTTCTGTACAGTTAGTGCGAGCCTCGAAATCTCACCTTGGTCAAGTTAGTGTTTTTAGGCTGACCACTTGGACTGGCCCCAAAATCACATTTCTCACAAGACGGGGACCAAGAGAGGGTTCCCATTTGGTCACAGTTCAAGCTCTTGAAGACATAAAACAAGAGAAAAACCACACTCAGTTTTACTTTGGGGACCCACAGCAACGTGTGCCGAGTTAAGTGCCAGTGTGAGAACTGTATATTTTACAGCCTGTGGTAAAGATCCCAACGAGAGAATGGAGGAGAAGGATTGTGGCATGGCCATCCCCCTTAGAGGGTGATTTCTCACTTTCTCTCTCTTTCTCTTTTTGTCTCTGGTGAGCTCACATATCCTATAGCAAAAATCTCTCAAAAAACCAAAAACACAGAGACAAGTAAAACAGATCATCTCTGGGCATTAAAACCAGGCAATGAGTATTCACATCAGAGTTGCTACATACACAACCACTCAATCATATAGAGTCCTTCCTCTCATTAATCCTAATTTGGAAAAGAGATAAAGTGACTTTTACCATCCACGTAACTAAATTCCACAGAGGGAAAGCAGCAGTCTGACTGCTAAGTTCTTACCTGGGGACCAGCAGGTGGTGTGGTGGTTAAGGCACGGGAGACTCTCTCATGGCCAATCATGGCTCAAGTCCCTGACCTGCCTTATCACTTTCTCTCTCTCTCTCTGGTCAAATTAAAGTGAATAAATAAAATTAAATCAGTAATTAAAAAAGGAAGAAAGAAAGAAAGAAAGAAAAGAGTTTCTTACCTGTATTTTTGCTGGCTTGTGAGATCCTGGGTTCTCTTGACTGTGGCTTCCAGGAGAGCAGAGCAGTTTGGGGTCCTCTGTTCACAGCACCAAACCTGTAGTGGCCAATAAAAATAAAATAAAATAAATAAATAAATAAATAAATAAAACATTCTTTGGATCTCTGTTTCCTGGATCCTAGGGAACATTGGAGCCAGATCATGTTACAATAGAACATCACATTTTTCTTTAACAGCTGAAAAGTTCCCAATTCCACCAAACATATACTAGGATTTGCAAGATAGAGTTTTCTTGGTTGCCCAGAATGATGTACTAGTCACATGGGTTCTATAAACAAAAGTTAAATGTACAGGTTACCAAATTTCTAAAAGGTCTCTTGAGGCTTCTTTAAAAAAAAAAAAAAAAAGAGAGAGAGAATTAATTTAGGGACCAGCAGGGGGTGTGGAGGTTAAGGTTCTGGACACTCCCCCGTGATTGACCAGGGTTCGAGTCCAACCCAGTGACTTGCTTTCTTATTTACTCTCTCTCTCGTGTGTTGCTCTCTGTCAGAGTAAAAATAAATGAATAAATAAAATTAAATAAATAATTCTTTTAAAAATATTGTATTTGACTTTACTAATTATTATTATTTTCTGGTTTGGGTCAGACAGAGAGAGAGAGAGAGAGAGGGAAAGTGAGGAAGCAAGCCACCAGGTCCAGGCTCGACCCACTTGGCCGCATGGGAGTCAAGCACCCTCAAATACCATGCCACCTGCCGGCCCCTAAGGGTTCTTTTTTAAAATTATTTATTTTACTTATTAGTATTTTAAGTCTGCTATAGGACAAACACTGTCTCACCAGAGACAAAGAGAAAGAGGAAAAGTGAGAAAGCAAGTCTCTAGGTCCGGGACTCGAACCGCCCTCAACCTTATAGGAGCCCAGCACCTTAGTCACCACAGTCGCCTGCCAGCCCCTTACAAGGCTTCTTATCCGTTTACCCAAATGGGGGAGAGCTCACCAAACAAGCGTTGGAAACGTCTGCGGCGGCTTTTCACTCCCCTTTGGCCAAATGGGGGAAATGACCCCAAACCACCCCTCCGTCCAGAGCAAAGTATCTCGGGAACACAGACCTGGCGGCGGCGCGGGCAAGCCCCAACTCACCGCAGGGACACCCAGCTCCAGCTTACGCATTGTTTCCTTCACCCCGACAATGAAATGACCCGGCCAAGGGCACTACTGGGCTACGCCCGGATTGCAGGCAGCTGGGTGAACCCCAGAAACCGAGGTCGCTGGCGGCCAAGGGCCGCGGGACCTCTCGCGAGACCTAGCAATGCGCAAAGTGCTTTGCAGCAAGGAGCCGAAAAGCTTCAGGCTTGGGACCAGCAGGTGGCGTAATGGTTACATTGCTGGACTCCCACATAGGCCACCTGGCTTTAAGTCCCTGATGCAGGGTACTTGTGTGTGCATGCCCAAAATCCTGAGAGGAGAGGGGATTGTGGCATGGCCATCCCCCCTGGAGGGTGATTTCTCACTTTCTATTTCTCTCTCTCAGATGACTACAGGTGCCACTATAAGAAAAATCTCTCTAAGAAAAGGCCCAGGCTCCACCAGGAATAACCCACATTAGTTTGTTTGTTTTTTAAGAATTATTAATTTAATTTTATTTATTCATTCATTTATTTTCATTTGACCAGAGAAAGACAAACACACAGAGAGAAGGAAAGTGTGAAAGCAAGCCACCAGGTCAGGGACTCAAATTAAGGTCAACCATGTGGGAGTGTCCAGTGCCTTAACTACCATGCCACCTGCTGACCTTTTAATTTTATAATTTTTTTCTAGAGAGATTTTTACTATAGGGTGCATATACTTGCTGAAAAGACAGTGAGATAAAATGCAAGAAATCACCCACCAGGAAAGATGGCCACGCCACAATCCCTTCTCTATTCTCCTCTTGGCATTTTGGGTATGCACACACATGTGCCCAGCGTTGAGTTTTAAGTCACCAGGTCTGGGACTCGAACTGCAGTCAGCCAGGTGGGAGTCCAGCAATGTAACCATTATGCCATCTGCTGGTCCCTTGACTATTACAATGTTGATCAGATTTGGGGGTCCAGAAATTAGAACAGGAAGTAATTTGTAGGTGTCCTCCCAGAGACAAATACATAATAGCCAGTTTGGGTTTTGTCCAGGTCTGGAAAAGTAGGTGGGCAGACCACGCCTATTTGTCTAGTACAGTGTGTGTGTCATTGAGGGTGCTGGGTGGGTGCCATGTTGCTAGTCTGGGTGTTGCTAGGTGCCCCTCTTCCTGAATGCCTTGGCACATGGCCATGGGTGGGACTGAAGAGGGATGACCAAGCATGGCAGAGAAGGGAGCCTCAGACATGGAAGGGGGAGCAGGGACAGCAGCCAGAGAGGACAGAAATTTTCCATTTGGCTTTTTGAGCTTCTTGCCAAACTTGGCTTCTATCCCAGTGCCCCGTCCCTTGTGTTTCGTTATAAATTTTTCATTTCAGGCAAAGAGCCCTTATCTCTCGCTGGGCTGCTTTAGGAGCCTGCTCCCCCATCAGCTGGAGCCTGGGCAGCTGAAGAAGTGCATTAAGGCAGAAGTTTTCTGTCCCCTGAGAAAGAAATGACACTCTGTGCTCTTCAAGGGACAACTTCTCCCTCTCTCATTACTGAAGGCCTCTGTTAAACATCGAGCTGCTGTCTTTGTTGAGATACTGTCAAGGCTGCCAGAGAGAAAGGCTTTGGGGGCACCTACTATGGTCTTGCCTGAGAGGTAAGGTCTTTCCTAGTGCCAGTCACTGGAATTGAGGGGACTCAGAGCAGAAAACAGGAGCTGTTAAACCAAGCTAAATCTTGTCCTGAGCAAGACTCGCTCTGACTTTGCATTTTCAGTTATTTTATTTTGTTAGAGAATGCATGTGCTTGCCAGAGACAGAGAGGCAGAGAGAAGAGAAAGTACACTCTATGAGGAATTCACGCTGCAATCCATTCTCCTCCACCTCTCCCTCCTTTCAGGATTTTGGGCATGTATGCACACATGCCTGTTTCTCAGGCCTCTGGATCCAGGAGTTGAACCATGTGATTGGCCATGTGGGATCTGGCTGCTCTAATCACCACGCCAGGGAGCCAGCCTACCTACTGGAATTCTTACATATAAATGCCACCTAACTCAGTACGTGAATAGACTAAAAAACCAAACTAGGAGTGTAATTCTGTAACCCACAGCCAATAACACCAACATGCTTTCATCAGTCACAGATGGCCGAATGTCTACACGGTGTTCAAACATGCAAACAATCCAGCTGTTTCCTCATTTCTCTGTTTTCCTTTTCTGTTTATAAATTATATTTGATCAGGTGGCAGCCCAGAGCATCTTAGAATTGGTTGTGTGGGCGACCAATTCATGACTCATTCTTTGCTCAATTAGATTCTGTTAAATTTAATTTACCTAAAGTTATTTTGAAATTTTATTTAACATTTATTTATTACTGGTTTTTTTTTTAGATTTTTTTTTGCCTTTGGGTGCGTGTACTTGCCAGAGAGAGAGAGAAACAGATACAGTGAGAGAAAAAGTGAGAAATCACCCCTCAAGGGGGCATGGCCACGCCACAATCCCTTCTCCTCTATGGGGGTCTGTGCACCAGCGAGTCTGCCTAGTTCATTAGGTTTCCGTTTCTCAGAAAGCAAACAATTACACAGTGTCAAAGGCCATGCTTGGCTCACCTTCAAAACCATACTCTGGCCACTTCCATAAAGGCCACAATTGGCTTCCCTTTCAAAACCTCACCTTCAAAACCATACTCTGATTGGCCACTTCCCATAGCAAATCGGTGAGCTTAGAATCCCTCAGATTTGCATATCCAGCACCTCATGATTGGTCCACAAAAGCAACCAATCATAACCCACCTTCTACAATCCTTCATTAGCATAAAGGGCAACCAATCATTGCCCACCAGCATGTATATAAACACGATCCCTGGGCCACAATAGCCAGATGATCCTGAAGATCTTGAAGAGCTGTAACACTGAAGAGCTGTAACACCGCATCGTCTCCTGACCGTCCTGAAGAGCTGGGGCGCTCCACCATCTCAGGAGGGCCCTGAAGAGCCGGGGCGCTGCATCGTCTCCGGCCGGCCCTGAAGAGCCGGATCTCCGCTTAGTCTCCGGCCGTCCTGAAGAGCCGGGGCGTCGCGTCATCTCCCGAGGGCCCTGAAGAGCCATGGCGCCATCCTCTCGTCATCTCCGGACGACCCTGAAGAGCTGAGGTGCCGCGTTGCCTCCATGCTGTCCACAATAAACAGACAACCTAGAAGAGCTGTTACACTGTGTCGTCTCCAGTTCTATAACACTGCGCCGTCTCCACGTTATATAACACTGTGTGAGCACTGCTGCCATCTAACACCACGCGGTCTCTGTGCTATCTAACACCGCGCTGGCTCAGTGCTATCTCCGCGCTGGCTCCGTGCTATCTATCAGTGCGCCGTCTCCGTGCTATCTAACACCGCGCTGGCTCAGTGCTATCACCGCACCGTCTCCGTGCTATCAGTGCGCCGTCTCTGTGCTATCTATCAGTGCGCCGTCTCTGTGCTATCTAACACCGCGCTGGCTCAGTGCTATCTCCGTGCTGTCTCCGTGCTCTATAACACTGCGCTGTTCGTCCCATCTCTCACTCCTTCCCTCAGGAAACCTCCACTCTCCTCCTGGGATATTAGGCACACATGCACAAGGACCTGGTGTGAGATTCAAGCTGCCATGTCCAGGACTCTACCTGCAGTTGGCCATGTGGAAATCCAGCCAGTAACCACTGCATCTATTGGCCCCTGTTACGATTTTTTTAATTTGACCAGGTTGTGGGGAGGTGGATTGAGAAAAAAAGTCACCAAGTTCAGGACTTGAACCATAGTAGGCCATGTGGGAGTCTAGCATCTTAACCACAAGGCCATCCACGGGCCCCTAAAGATTTCCTTTTGGGACCTTTTACACCTTTTGGTGTAATGGCTATGTCCCTGGACTCCCATGTAGTTGACCACTGTTCAAGTCCCAGACCTGGCAGCTTAAACTCGCGCCGTGCGTGTGTGCCCAAGATCCTGATAAGAAAATGGAGAAGGGATTGCAGCACGGCCATCCTGGGGGGGGGAGGGGGGGCGGGCGGGGGGGGATTTCTTGCTTTCTGCCTCTGGCAAGTACACACGCCCTATAGCAAAAACCTCTCCAAAAAATTTTTCTTTTAACAGAACTAAGAGGGGCCTTGCTTCTACACTCCAGGTCTCCAGGAGCCCGGTTGTCTATGAAGAGGCTTCATAGAAGGGAGGTCACAAATGTCACCTCTCTGTGCCCATTCCCTGGGCCCAGAGCAAGAGAAGTACCTGGTTTTACCTCCTTGGGCCACATCCTCCCCGCAAGCAAAGGACTCCGTGTACCCACCCAAGACAAGGCTCGAGGCACCAGGACCCCAAAATTCCTGCAGCAAACTGTCTTCCAGGACCTGCTAGGGTATCTTTGGGTCTCGCCTCCCCAGAGTGGACCTCATCTCCAGTGTTCACACCTAAGGTCCTAGCAGTGGCCAAAGGGTGGCCATTTTCAGGGCTGGAGAGGGTGTGGCTATGGCTGATGTGTGGATGTATGAGCCAGCATGTCCATACGCACACATGTGAGGCCCTTTACAATCAGAGGACAAGGTGGGTGGGTGAGAAGAGATGGGTGGGTTGAGGGCTGGAAGTGGAAGGCCAGGAGCGTGACTCTCCAAGGAATCTAAAAACCCTTAACTCACGGTCTGGGCTTTTAGGTGTTATGAAGGTATGTATCTTAGAAGAACAGAACACAGTTTAGTGTTTTTTAGTATTTTATTCAACTTTATGTATGTATATATTTTAGGTTTGGCCAGAGAAAAAGTGAGAAAGCAAAGCCATCAGATCTGAGACTTGAAACACAGTCCGCCATGTGGGAATCCAACACCCTTAACCACCATGCCACCTGCTGGCTTTTATTGACTTATGAATTTTAAATATTTAGACACATTGGGTGGTATGGTGGTTAAGCAGGTAGCATGGACTCCCACATGACTGACCATGGTTCGAATTCTGGACCTGGTTGCTTGTTTTCTGTCTCTGATGAGTGCACATGCCCTATAACAAATTTAAAAAAAAAAAAAAAAGGTAAATATTCTTTAAAAAAAATTTAGACTCAGAGCACGTGCACTTCTATTTGCACTCTTGCCCAGGCCCCACAAATGTTAGTATCACATTAAGCCCAAAAACAAATTTTA